CAGTGAGGATGGTCAAGATTGAGGACTGCCCAAGCTAGATGAAACTTAAGGTCATTTGTGAAGGGCCTCTCAATAGATGGGCAATAGTTCAGATAATGTGATGGATATAACACAATTCGTGGTTCTGGGTCTATAGTGGGGATGCTGTTAGGAAAATAGCATGCCTATGAGGTATGCTTCACTGGGGAGATCCAGGAGAATGAACACAGCTTCTTCCTCGGCATTGGGCCTATGTCGCCACATCACAAGGAACACAACATCTTCATTTGTCTCAACACTGAAAAAAGTTGGCTTACTGTTCCAGAAATACAGTCGGGTGTTCTGTTTTATGGAAGTAAAGGGCACCTTTACTCTTGCTGTCAAATCAGAATTAGAAAGACAATGGCTTCCAGAACGTCAGCAGGTTAGTTTTCTAGTTCTTTCCTTTAGTTTGTTGTTGACATTTACAATTCCTAGATGACAGTTTTCTTCCTCATTGCGAGCCAGTGTGGATTTTTCACCTCTGTCTGGTCTTAGTCAAAGCGAATGACAGAAGATTCCTAGAGGGAGATGACAGATTGGGAGAGTAGGGAGACAGCCACTGGACGGAAGAGGTGGAGACAGCTCCTAGAGGGGGCTTCCTAGTTTCATTTTCTTCAAGTCCGGGATCCTCTCTCACCATTGCAGATTTAATTGTGAAATAATGGAAGCCACTGTGGTGAAGTCACTTTCCAGTCCTTTGCAATTTCTTTCCTCAGCACTCTTCTCTGTGGCCACAGTTCTGGATTCAACAGCACACGTCTCCTTGCTCGGCCTTGGGTCCTTAAGACTTGGTAACTATTTATCACAGATAAGCGTGTGGACCACCAAGAAATGTTATCAAATATTCAGCAAGTCTGCCTGTCAATGGGGGTTCTGGCTGATGACCTTGCTGGTCACTGGCTTTCCTCCTTCAAACTATTTCCAGGTGTGGATTGGGCCTGTGCATTTTCCAGGAGGCACGGGAAAAAAAGGCAACCTGTAAATCTATTAATCCCACATTTGTCAGCCCATGTCATTCTTTTTGCTTCCAAGCAATAACATTAAAAAGAAAACAAAAAGATTTCAAGTATTTTACTGTAATCGAAAGAATATGGGTGTCTTGGTTGAATAGACTTGGTTTCGATCTCTGCTTTTGGCACTTGCTAGATGAGAGACTGTGAATCACTTTCCCCATCTTTCAGTGCTCAGTTTTTGGTCTTCGGGGAAGAATATTTCAATTCAGAGCCTACATTTGTGGTACATTAATAGGGATGGTATATGAACCATGGTTACAACACAGCAAAGCCTTAGTAAAAGGTAGCTCAAGTTTCTTTTGTTGCATTTTGGCCTAAGGAGCAGCTCTCCTAAGCATAAAGAAAGGATTTGCAACATTCAAAAAAATCAGGGTAATGTCTATGCAAGGACTGTGCTGAAAATTTCCCGACTAACCAGTTACTCACAACACTCTAGCTCTGAGGCTCACATTTTATTAGAACTGTTCATATTGCTCTAGGGATAATTTAGTTTGAGAGATGGACATTTTCCCTAAGGGTAACTGACTGTATTAATTTCAAATGCTAGTAATTAATAGCAGTAGAGAATTGGAAGCAATTTTTTTTCTTGAAGACATTTGAGTATATGACCTGTTAAAATCACCACGGCTTCTAAATATATTGTTTTGAGAGTTCAGAACATAAACACAATGAACAAGATATAGATCTACTCCCCGAATTTATTTTATCCCCTTAAACACTCAGTTTAATATAACATAAGGTGTTTAGCCATGTGTAAATTTAGTAAACATCGATCTATAACAGAGAGCAATTGGAAGGGAGCGCTGGAAAATTATCTAAGTTTTAAGAGGATGTGATTCAAATGTTTGGCTTCAATCCCACCGCCACCCTTTGAGTTACATTACTTGAACTGATTTTTCTAACCATGGGCTATCAGAGTTCATTTTGTTGCTGAGTGACTTCATAAATCATATTCACGATCTGGTCCCTCTGTTCTTCCCAAGAATGTGGCTTTGATGAATAAACACCAGTTATAATGTGTTTGTTTCTATCACATGTACATCCAAAGTTATAAAATCCCACTCTTGCACAAGCTCTGAGTTTCACCACGTATACTGTGTTGGCTCCGCTCATGCTGGTTCCGCCGTCCTCTGTGCTAGACTGAGAGGAGAGAGACGTGTCCTCAATATGGTGATTCTGTCATTTTTTTCCTCCGTGAAACAAAATTTATCGTGTTTCTGCTTGGTGGGGTCAACTGAGAAGGGCTGAGAGTCATTCCTAAGGGCTCCTGGGGAGCTGTGCCAGGCTGCCCTGCAGGTCCAGCTTATAATTAAAGGGCCATACAGAGCAGGCTGGGAATGGACAGATTTTATTCACAGGTACCACTGGCGCACAGGTAGACATCCAATCGCTCGAGACCTAGATGGGAGGCAATATTTACCCCCTTCAAACGACAGAAAGTCACATCATCTGCGACGCAGCTGAGTCTACTTCAGTCAGAGGGAAAGAGAGGGAGACATTTGGCCGCTTAGATCCATGTTCCTTTTCCGTCTGGAGCTCTTGGAACTGTCTCCTACTGTTTCAGCAGAGCCAAGTGTGCACCTCTCTTCCCAATACCATGTGCAGTGACATCATATTAGCAGCCTAAAAGTAGCACTGTGGGTGTAATTTGCACTACAAAAATTAGCAAACACTGAAAATTAGTAACTTGAGAACTTTATAGCTTCCGGTGAGACAACTAAGTAGAAATCATTACTGCACTGTTGATCAGATAGTGTTCTGAGGGTGGTAGACTAAAGTTTTCAAAAAAATTGCCACAAAATTTAATTAACAATTTATTAAAAATTATCTAAAATATCTATGCTCCAATCCTTTATACATGCCTGTGTAGGCAGCTGTTTGTAACACAGACTTTCAATTTTTTTTTAAAAATCAGCATATAGCTGAGCTATCAGTGACTCTATGGTACTCATACTAAGTAATGTGGCACTTTTGTTCACAGGACAGAGATTGGACATAATTAAGGTAATACTGTACTTTTCAGACTGTAAAGGAGAAGAAACGATGAAGCAGGGAACTTAGTATTGGTCATAGGAAGTTTGTCTTCTTTATGAAAAACCACCTGATGCAAGGATTGTTAGAGAAGCTCTTAAACTCTCTTAATAGAAGAATAAAAGTAAAAAACAAAACCAGAAAATAAAGCAAAAAAAAAATCAAAAACCAATATTGCCAAGTTGGAATTGCATTGTAATTAGTCATTACCCATTCTTCAAAATTTAATTATTATTCTTTACTATCTTATATTATAATTAATATGCAATTATCATTCTTCAAAGTTTAACTATTCAGTTGACAAAGCACTATATTGTTTAGAATACATTTGTCCCTCAAATTTCAAGTTATTTTATGTCAGGGACAGGAGAAGACATTCTGCCATTTATGAGAGCGTAGCTATTTGCTTGCCATGAAAGTGGAAGCTGTAAAGAAAACATGCTCTCCCAAATTGGAATCGATGTGTTTTTCCTCAGTGAGGACACAAAGTAGGGCAGATGGAGAAGGGGTGTTCTGGGAGGAGTTGGAGGAAGGGATGCATATGATAAAAGTGATATTACATAAATTTCTCAAAGAATTAATCAAAAAGGAAAAAGAACGAGAAGCCTTTTGCTAATACATCTATACCATCCACAAACAAATATTGTTGGCTTAGATTACACAGGAATTCAGGGAATAGATACAATGATTGTCTAATAGTCCAGGGGAGAACAACGCTCATTTTATTCTCAGGCACCAGATCCGAATACTCTCTATCAATCATTCATCAGTGCAGAACATTTATCATGCTGTGTGTTTCCATTGAAGTGTAATGCTTTCATTGTAGTTTATTAATAAAGATGCTCCTTAGAGTAGTGGTTCTCAGTCTTCCACATCCGGTGACTTTTTAATATGTTGTGGTAACACCCAACCATAAGATTACTTTTGGTACTCTTCATAAATGTAATTTGGCAATGATGATGAATCGTAATGTAAATATTTTTGGAGATAGAAATTTGCCAAAATGGTCCTGACCCACAGGTTGAGAATCATTGCCTTAGCTTATGTAAGAAGAAGCTACTAAGCAGGAGATGTCATGCTGGGACTCAAGCACGCCCCTCTGCCTGAGGGTTCTTTTCCATCTGTGGCTCTCCCACCATGTCCCTCACATGCTCCTTGCTGCCCCCATTTTCAGATTTCATATCCACAGGTATCGCTGCTATTATTTATTCTAGTGAATTTATTGGTCTAGTGCTTGTTCTGAGCCTGGTAGTGGGGCAATGCATGCAAGGATCTCATTTATTTGGGGAGTCCTGTTTGTGTTCGGTGATAGACATCACTGGATAGAAAATGGCCATTCTCCTAACTGACTTTCTCAATCTTGAGGCTTGGCCCCTGGGACCACTGCTATTTTGGATTGTCTGGGAAGTAGCTGTTCTTTGTTGCTGACTATTGTACTAGAGGAGCAGTGGGCTAGGAAAGATATTTGGATATTACAAGTGCCTTATTTTCCTCACGAGAAACATCCTTTCAATGTTCAAGGAAGAAAATGAATGATGGTCTTTACGGTCTCAGAAACTGTGACTGTCCCCAGGCTTCTGAGGAAGTGAAAAGACTCTAGAGTCAGTCTAGGGAAGGAGGCCCTCAGAGTCCCTGAGCATGGAGGATATTCACAGCGAAGGGTGATCATCGTTTGTGTTGGAAGTCTACCTCCTGGCTTCTATCTTGGTTATTTGAAAATACCAGAAAGAGCTAAATTGAATGGGATTGTCTTGCTTTTCTTTTTTGTTTGTTATATCAGATACTGTCAATGTATCTGATATGGGAGTGTGGGTAGGCAGCCAGTGTGGGGAACTAAAAACCTAGGTTCTTGCTATTTACATGGACTTTTCCTCTCCTTTTCTCCACTCCCTTTGTATCTGGTCTTTCTCCCTACAACTCTTCCTTCTTTCCCAGGTGTGTTTGATAACTGCTCCCACACAGCCAATGACAAGGGCTGGGCCCTGGGGATCCGCTCAGGGAAGGACAAGGGGAGAAGAGATGCTCGCTTCTTCTTTTCTCTTCGCACTGACCGGGTGAAGAAAGCTACAATTGTGACCGGCCACAGCCGCTACCAGCCAGGCACATGGACTCACGTTGCAGCCACTTATGATGGACAGCATATATCCCTGTATGTGGATGGCACTCGAGTGGCTAGCAGTCCTGACCAGTCTGGTCCACTCAACAGCCCTTTCATGGCATCCTGCCGCTCTCTACTCCTGGGAGGGGACAGCTCGGAAGATGGGCATTATTTCCGTGGATATCTGGGTACACTGGTCATCTGGTCGACTGCTCTCTCACAAGCCCACCTCCAGCACAGTCCCCAGCACCCAAGTGGAGCAGATGAATTGACTACCTTGATCCTGACAGCCACTTTTGACCCTCTGAGGGAACAGTGGGCTCCTTTTAGAGATGAGACCTATCCCCGACTTGAGGTTCTCCAGGACTCTGAGTCACAGCCTGAGATTCTGTCACCATTGCAGCCCCCACTTTGTGGGCAAACAGCTTGCGACAATGTGGAACTGATCTCCCAGTACAATAAGCATGGGCCCCTTCGGGGAGAGAAAGTGATTCGCTACCAGGTGGTGAACATCTGTGACGATGAGGGGCTGCATCCCACTGTGAGTGATGACCAAATCAGCCGGCAGCACGTGGCACTGAATGAGGCCTTTAGCCGCTACAACATCAGCTGGCAGCTGAATGTCCACCGGGTCCACAACTCCACCCTGCGCCACCGGGTCGTGCTCGTTAACTGTGAGCCCAGCAAGATTGGCAATGACCACTGTGACTCCGAGTGTGAGCATCCACTCACCGGCTACGATGGGGGCGATTGCCGCCTTCAGGGCCGCTGCTACGCCTGGAATCGCAGAGATGGACTCTGTCATGTGGAGTGCAACAACATGCTGAATGATTTTGATGATGGGGACTGCTGTGATCCTGAAGTGACTGATGTCCGCAAGACTTGTTTTGACCCGGACTCACCCAAGAGGTAAGGAACTGGGATTTGGGATTCTCTTCTTACATGCGCGTTTCTGATGCGGCACTACTTTTTGGCTTCCTGGAGACAAAGAGGTTTCATACAGCCCCCAGATAAAATGTTCTTCCCTCCTAGGCTTTACTGGCTTTCGTGGAAGCGCTAGGTGTGTGAGGTAGTTGAGGATTTGGAAATGCCTCATCAGGTACAGCTCTCACAGAGTTCAAGGTCTGTGGAGTGGAGCCAAACTCCCACAAAACTTGCGCAGGGCAGAGGAGGCACTGAGGAGCTGGAGAACTCCTACCAGAGGAGCCCAAACGATCCCCAAGAAGAAACACGGGATTCCTCAGAGAGAAAGGGAAGTATTTCTCAGTCTCTAAGCTCCGTGAAAAAGCCACTATCATGAGCGAGCGAGTTGGTGAGTTAGTCAATTTTTTGTCAGTAAAATGATGTATTTGAAGTGAGCTTATTAGGGCTCCTACTCCGGATGCACCTGTCCCAGTCTGGGTAGGCCTGGTGGACAAAGCAGCCCATGGTAGCAGGAGTAAACTGCTTACTTCATGCTTCAGGAAGCAAGAGAAGAGGAGGAAGAGGCCAGGGTCCTGCAGTCCCCACTAAGAGCACATTCCTGGCGATATGAGGACCTTCCACTAGACTTGACCTCCTACCACTGCTGTCGCTTCCTGTAGCACTACCCTGACCTTTGAAGGACTTGTTGGTCAGACTCTGTTGCTGTGACAGATACTTGAGGGAAGTGATTTAAAAGAGGAATCATACATATTTTTTCTTTTTACTACAGTCTCAGAGGCTTCAGTTTATGTATGGGGACCCACGGTGAGACCTCTACACAACAGAGGAAGGCTGTTACTTCATGAAAGCCAGGAAGCAGAGAAAGTCAGAGTGGTGTTAGGAGACAAGAGAGGCACTTTAACAGTATGTGCTGGTGACTCACCCCCCTCAGTAAACCCTGCCTTTGAAGTCTCTACGACCTCCCAATAAAGACAGTAAATGAGGAGTGTATTCGTAGATCAATCCATTCATGAGCTCAGGGCTCTCCTCTCATGATTCATCACTTGCAAAAATTCTATCAGTTAGCAACTAGTGCTTTACCATAGGAGACTTTGGGAGACAACAGACCAGATTCCAACTGTACCAGGAGCCCTCATCGAAGTCCCAGTTAACAGTCTTTCAGGGTGTCTGGGCAACTTTATCTTCAGAATGTCCCTTTAGCTCTATGAATTTTGGCTGCATTGCCCATATCTGGGTCTTTAAAACTTATTCCTTCACGGTCTCAGAGTTGCTATGGAAACACATCTCATTCCGTTTATTATCCAGACCTATGATGCCCAGATGCAATATTTGCCTTGTATAACTAAAGGGGATGTTTATACTATTAGAAGTACTAGCATTAAATCCAGCGCCTTGATAAGGCTAAGCACCAGCCTGCCACGAAGCAAAACTCCTAGTCTTGAATATTTGAACATTATTGATTGTTAAAAATATTTAACTCACAGTGTGTGTGCATGTGACACAACTGTCACTCACATCCAGAGGGCCTAGTTTGGTCCTATGCAGGTTCCTTGCTGTCAGTCTGGAGTCAGCGAGCTCTCACTAGCTCAAGTCAGCTGTTTCTGTGGGTCTCCTCATCATGGTCTTGACCCCTTTGCTCATCTTATCTCTCCTCTCTCTCTTTGACTGGACTCTGGGATCTCAGCCCAGTTGTAGCTGTGGATCTCTGCATCTGCTTCCATCAGTTGCTGGATGAATTTCTATGTGCGAAGGGGAAATAGACAAGATCTCCAGAGGAAATTGGGAGCGTGGGGGTGGGTAGAAAGGATAGCAGAAAGGGAGAGGTGGGGAGAAGGGAAGAGGGGAGGAGAATGTGAGGAAATGGGTTGACTGAGATGGGAGAAGGACAGAGAAGGAAAGCGAGAAAAGAGATATCTTGATTGAGGAAGCCATTATGGGGCTAGCGAGAAACCTGACACTAGGGTAATTCCCAGGAATCCTCAAGGATGACCCCTGCTAAGACCCTAAGCAAGAGTGGAGAGGGTACTTGAATTGTCCTTCCCCTCTAATAAGATTGATGATTTATTCTTTCTTATAATTTCCCAGCCTTAGCTTGACTTGTTTCTAACTGTCTTTTCTTAAATTATCCAGTCTATCTTTTGCCTCTGGTCTTTATCTTTCTCTATACCTTTCTTTACTTCTTACTCCGTGGCTTGCTATGTAACTGGTGGCTGACCCCTGATATTCTCCTCTCCTTCCTTCTTTTTCCTAGGTCTTATCATCTCAGAGCTCTCCTCCTATTTATTCTCTCCGCCTGCCACTCCTGCCTATCCTTTTTCCCTCTTAGTTATTAATCATTCAGCTCGTTATTAGACCAATCAGGTGTTTTAGACAGGCAAAGTAACCCAATTTCACAGAGTTAAACAAATGAAACAAAAAAGAATGCAACACATCTTCACATCATTAAACAAATGTTCCACAGCATAAACAAATGTAACACATCTTAAAATAATATTCCACAACATATATTACACTTGATCTTCACTCAAAGAGAAGCATTTATCTTCTATTTCTTTAGACAACTTAAAATTTTCAAGATAATTTTTTTAAAAATCTAACTTTAGTGCGTTTATTTTATTTAAGATTTTAGTTGTTTAAAGATTTGGGTTTATTACTTTAAATGTTTTTTTAAAAATTTATTTATTTATTAAAGATTTCTGCCTCCTCCCCGCCACTGCCTCCCATTTCCCTCCCCCTTCCCCGATCAAGTCCCCCTCCCTCATCAGCTCGAAGAGCAATCAGGGTTCCCTGACCTGTGGGAAGTCCAAGGACCACCCACCTCCATCCAGGTCTCTTAAGGTGAGCATCCAAACTGCCTAGGCTCCCACAAAGCCAGTAAGTGCAGTAGGATCAAAAACCCTTTGCCATTGTTTTTGAGTTCTTAGTAGTCCTCATTGTCCGCTGTGTTCAGCAAGTCCGGTTTTATCCCATGCTTTTTCAGACCCAGGCCAGCTGGCCTTAGTGGGTTCCCAATAGAACATCCCCATTGTCTCAGTGTGTGAGTGCACCCCTCGCGGTCCTGAGTTCCTTGCTCGTGCTCTCTTACCTTCTGCTCCTGATTTGGACCTTGAGATTTCTGTCGGGTGCTCCAATGTGGGTCTCTGTCTCTGTCTCCTTTCATCGCCTGATGAAGGTTAATATTCAGGAGGATGCCTATATGTTTGTCTTTGGATTCACCTTCTTTTCTTTTTTTTTTTTTTTTTGGTTTTTCGAGACAGGGTTTCTCTGTGGTTTTGGAGCCTGTCCTGGAACTAGCCCCTGCAGACCAGGCTGGTCTCGAACTCACAGAGATCCGCCCGCCTCTGCCTCCCAAGTGCTGGGATCAAAGGCGTGCGCCACCACCGCCCATCACCTTCTTATTTAGCTTCTCTAGGATCACGAATTATAGGCTCAATGTCCTTTATTTATTATTACTTTAAATGTTGTTCTCTGTGTGTGTCTATGTATGAATATGTGCATATATGTGCAGGTATCTGTGGAGGATAGAGGTATTGGATCTCCTGGAGCTGGAGTTAGAAGCAGTTGTGAACCACCAATATGGGTTCTGGGAACCAAACTTGGGTCCAGTGGAAATGTAGTGTGTTCTATTAACCTCTGCACTATCATTTTTAGCCAGCTTTTTTTGTTTAAAGTTGTAAGGTTTTGTTTTTGTTTTATGAAAATAAGATTTAAAAAGTTTCTTGTCTCTCTTCTTCATGCTGGCAATTTGTTTCAAAAGTCTAGTGCTTGTTCTCACAGTAGGGAACGTAATTTAAAATCTCTATTTATGTTTAATTGTTCCCAAATTTCCCCTTTTGAAAGATGAAACCCAAAATACACAGTGACAGGTAAGGGTTTTTTCTCTTTCAATCCCCTCATACTTAATCTATGTGTGAAGTTTTCCTTTATCTTCTATCTTATGCTCTTTGTGCTGAATTTTAGTTATTAAAACATTGAATTATTTTTTATTGTTGCGGAAAAAAACTGAGACAGTGTCCTTTATCAGGTTCTTATGGAATGTCAGATGCATTAAACTAGGCAGAGGAACAAATAAAAGAATTTCTAAAGGAAAGAGCTAGCAACTTCCTGGAGGACTTAAAATTTGTATCTAAATTCTCTGGATTTAAATACAGGCTGAAGCATGAAAAACAACAGGCCTATAAATAGTGCCTTTCTGTGCCATGGCTTGGATCATTTGAAAGAACTTTGGATTCATAGGGTACTCTGGTCTCTGGGTTTCTATGAGGTTTTTGGGGTTGGTAAAATGAGTGGCCACTTCTGAATTAAATTAGCCATGTACAACACTCTTGATATTACAATCATATCACAAAGCTCAATCTCACAGTCCTATTATTTTCTGACTCTTAAAGGATCCAACTTCAACAAATGCTTTGCCAGACACTTATTGAAGGAGTGATTATATCAGGCACAGAGTCCATCTATTTAGGAACTCACAGTTTGTGGGGGGGGGGGGTAGAGGGAGAATGGGCTCAGATCTATAGAGCAACATTCATTGGTAATTGATGATTGATGTTTGATGATTGTTCTTGCTTTCCAAATCCTATTAAACTTTCCCACCACTCCCATTGAGAAGTCAGAAATGTAGGCCAAAGTAGTTCCTTTCTCAAAGACTCTGGGAGGAGGAGATAGTCCATGGAATCCAGCATCAAACATCTGTAGCCCAGATGGGGCTATCAAAGGGAAAGCATTTATAAGGATTGGGACTGGTCAGAGGAGATATGAGTTATAGATATATGACCCAGCCAGTGGATCAGAATTAGTGAGATAGAGGAACTTGGCTGTGGCTAAGGAAGACTAAGCCAGATATCCACTTCTGCTTCCTAATTGTCTTTAGAGAGTCCTCAAGAGGTGCAGGAGAGAAGGGGTTGAACGCCCACATCAATCCAATCATAATTATTGCCGACCATTCACTTAGGGAGCTAAGCCAGGAACAACCCTGTGCCTGA